TATGGGCAAAATCCTAGAAAAACTCATCTTAAAACGCCTGTATCCCATCCTAGATTCTAATAACATAGTCCCAGATCACCAATTTTGATTCCGTACATCTCACTCCACTATTCAGCAATGTCATCGTGTGGTAGACGTGGTTTCCTCTGCATTGGAGCGCGGAATGTAGTGCACGGGAGTCTTTCTCGACGTAGAACTGGCGTTTGATCGAGTCTGGCATCCGGACTGATGTACAAACTTCGTAAATTCCTACCACCTACATACTTCCTCATTATCCGTTCCTACCTCAGTGATAGATACTTCAAAGTAAATCACAAAAATGCCTGTTCATCTCTTTTATCTCAATTTGCTGGTGTTCCTCAAGGTAGTATGCTAGGTCCTATCCTTTACACAGTTTATACAGCTGACATTCCAACCCATCCCAACAGTGTCATCACCACCTATGCCGATGACACGTGTATCATCAGTTAACAGCGATCCATCAATTGCATCCCAAACTCTCCAATCACACATCACAAATCTTGAAGAATGGTGTCAAAACTGGAGGATTAAAATAAACTCCAATAAATCCCATCAAATTATCTTTACCCTGCGTCGCAAACCTATGACCTCCTGTCCTACAGTATTCTTTAACAATTCCCCACTTATCCCAGTTGAACAAATTCGTTACCTAGGACTCCACCTCGACAAACGACTCACATGGAATCCTCATACAAGACTGAAACGACAAGAAACCGCTCGACGTTTCCGACTACTCCAACACTTACTAGACAAACGCTCTAAGCTTTCACTCAATTACAAACGACTCATATACATGACAATAATAAGACCTATTTGGACCTACGGAATCGAGCTCTGGGGCTCCACTAAGCCATCGAATTTCTCTCGTATCCAATCCTTACAATCCAAAATCCTTCGTAAAATCCTCAACGCTCCTTGCTTTCTCACAAACAAAATCATCCATAAAGACCTCAATGTTCCATATGTTTCCAATTTGGCCCAATCCAGATACCTATCCTTTCATAACAAACTGCAGAACCACCCGAACCCTCTTGTTTCAAACAATGCTTCCTCCTCTATCCCTGATAACCCCCCGAGGCGTCTGAAAAGAAGATGGCCGCGGGATCTTCTAATATAGAACTTTAATTTGAGTTCTACCATTGGGTAGTTTCTCTTCATATTTTACATGTCATGTTACCAATGTCACATTTACCTGTTGTATTTTTAATGTAATACAGTTGTAAATTTCAAAAAAATTATAAATAAAAAAATATGGGAATTGATTAAATTGTTTTGTCAGTTCCTGTCTTATTAATTTTTTATGTATTTTCTAAGTAAGACTTTTGTCTTAATAGTGTTCGAATCGCTATGGCTTCCTTTACAGTACCTCTTACCTATTACGTTGTTCATCTTAGGCCCTTTATGTATTTGACAATTGGGTAAAATAATCATGATCCATTATAGGTCAAGCTCCGTGATAGAAAATCTCAACTAAAAGAGAAAAAAATAATTGTACTAAATATAATATCCTAGTAACAAACTTGTTATAATTATATAACGTATAATTAGTCATTATTAACTTGTTGAAATCTCTCGTCAAAAACAATGATATTATTAACGGTTGGTTCCATCCAGCAGACAATATACCCAGCTTTCACCCTACAGTCAATAGGGGTCGTTGAAATATTTAAATAGCTGTTGGGTATAAACAGTGTAGATGCGTATAGTCTTGCTTCAACACAGAGGCCATTGTTTATGGTATATAATAAAACGGATAATGGAGGGCATAGCCGCCTTGGGCCTTAGTCAACGAATGTCGCATCAGTTCGTATTAGATCTGCTCGGTGGGTATCAAGTTGGAAATCTCCCTTGTAATTTATGCTCCGGCGGTAAGGAATTTACCATAACGTACTCCTGAGTTATATCTAGTATTTAAATAGCAGTAAAATTTTACTGGTATGAAGCAACGTTCAAGAATCAGATGTCTTACAGGATACGAGACACCCAAGACTGTTACTTGGCCAACTTGAAGGATAAAATTTCATGTTAAGAAACAAGTATGGAATGAGCGTAGTTCATTTAAACGTTTAAAATTTCAAATGGCAAAACATATAAATACAATATTCGTATTTTGTTTCTCTTGTATAGAACCATAATAGGAGCTTATTTATTTGTTTCTTAGATTACTTGTTTATTGATAAATATTACAATGTGTCTCAATTAAGGACACTTAAAACGGAGTTCAGGGAGTGGCGTACCTCAGTAGTAGGGTGCTGAGCTTCCAATACTAAAGATCCCAGGTTCCAATCCCGGATCATGGCTGAAAAATGATTTATTCTGTTTCATTGGCCTTGGGGCAACCTTAGATAGGTAGGCCCTCCTGGGGCACACCCAGCCTCTATAAAGTGGGTACCCTTAATTAAAATAATTTGTTAAGGGGTAAAACCTGGCGCTTGAGCGTGATCTCGGTCAAATCACTTCCTTGTACAACCGTAGACCCAGTGCTTTCCCTAAATAATACTGAACCCAAGACCCTTCAGGGGTTGTAGTGGTCAAGGTTTTTTTTTTTTTTTTTTTTTTTTTTTTTATAATTTCTTTTCTTCTCTAACAAATATAGAAAATCCAAAGAAAAAGAAATCCTAGATGCTATCTGAGACCTTTATATAGCAGAGCAAGAGGTGTTTTTTGGTCCATCAACTGTTGGAGTGCTGTAAATAAGAAGCAGTTTTTATAGGAGCCCCTCACGTAATGCCTGCGAACGTGCACCAATAATCTAATAGTCTGCCTGGGTATCGGCTAGCGGTTTCTAAGAGCCTCTAATGCTTCGGTTCATCGGCTGCACGTGGATCTCTTCTTCAGCAGATCAGAAGTGTAAAGATATTTACGTTTTCAAACAGGAGGTGTTTTTTGAGAATATTATTTTAAAGAAAATTTGAGGATATTTATGAATACGACTGGATATGTTGTATTTTTTAAACTATTATAAATAGATTTTTTGGATGAAAATTAATGTATTGAACTTCACCAATATTATTTTATAAATGTGTTAAAATGCTAGGATATGCAGATTTTATAGCTGTCTTTGGGAGCAATTGAGAGACTCTCTAAGATTCTTGTAAGAGAGACAGAGTAAATCGACTTACAAGTAAATGAAGGTAAAACATATTATATGTTAAAAGGGCTGAAAATATACCAATTTATATGTAACAAGCGCAAACAGAACTTTCTTCTTCCTTTAAAAGTATTTGAATCAAGAAAAACCACTAATAATCTCAAATTAACGGCGTAAGCGAGAACTCGACAGAAATCAGCACCCTAAAAAGTATTAGAATAGAAATATCCTTCTCAAAACAACCAGAACGATCTAGGATGAGACTACTAACGTATAAGAGAAGGTCCCACAAAGAACAGCTTACAGAAACTAAGCATTCAATATCTCATGATGTGAAATTATAGAAAAAAAGATAGATAGATAGATAAATAGATATTTTATTTGTTTTAAGGGGATTCCCCATACAAATAGAGCCTAGCTTGGCTATTGCACAATAATATGGTTTTACAAATTTACATACATATAATTTAAATATAAATAAAATTTACAATATTTAACGTTTAGAATGGTGTTCACAAAACATGAATAATAATAAAAATTAAAAACATAAAATGATTACTGCATAATATTGGTTATATGAACCAGTTACTATGATACAAACAATACAAAATAAAAATATTTATAAACATAAACAAAACATTACTCTTAAGATAAACCAAAAACAAACGCTTAATAGAACATGGCTATGATCAACAATTTTGTGTATGCACTTTGTGTACTCCCATCATATAATAGTAAACTTTATTTAATTTATCTATACAATCGATATTCAGCATGGATTCGACGTTGTGGTTATCAGAAGATTTAATCAGAAGAGTAGCCAAAGATAGACAGAAGTGGAGTAAGATGATTAAGGCGGAAAAAAATCTGCAAGGTCTGTAGAGCCAAAAAAAAAAATATAAAAGATATATATGAGAAGATACGATTAACCAGATTAATATTGATCAATGTTTTTTAAAATTTAAATTGAAAATAAAGACCAAAACAGTACATCACGCAAAACATCGAATAATAAACATATTATAAATATCAACTACCTGCTCATTCCATTCAATTCATTGCCAAATTAAATTGTTTTCAATATTCCAAATCGATGTTGAATGTCTGTTGGCAGGTTGGTTAAAAACAGTGTGGATGTGTATCAAACTGATTTGGTATATCTTTACTTGTTTATTAATGAAAACTAATAAGTAATTTTTAATGATAGACAATTTAATATTATTTGGTACATTTGTATGTAATTTAATTGATTTAAATTATGCTAGAGTTTCCCAAATTATTCTAGCCAGAGAAGTAAGTTCGGATTCGAATCACCATGACTGGAGAGTTGCAACTCTGTCATGATTAATTTTTTCATTACGGATTACGTTTTGCGATCCGGTTCTTGAATTAACTTAATTATTTATAATCCTCCCTACTATGTTTGAATTTAAAAGAAGTGTCACAGAAATAGGTATGTAAGTTATAAATTTGTAATTAAAATTGAAATAAAAACGTCAAATTTGAAGTTTCGATGCCGTCATTCTGATTGATGTGTCTTATTAAAGTGCTACACGTGTTCCTTAGAACGGTCTTCATTCGTACCTCTTCTTGGAAGATTGCTTTCTATTACCGACAATAAATCTCACGACATCAAAATCCCCTGACGCGGAGCGATGTCCCTGTCCGGATCAAAAGATATATCTATCCACTAATTGGGGGGATGGCCTGAATAAGATGGTCAGATGTAATAAAGGATGAGAATGGCGAGGCTAGTGAATGAATTGGCCATCTCATTATGCCCATATAGGCTCCCCTAGGCCGGGGTAATGGTCGACCATATAGGGCAAGCTGGCCCTTACGTAAAGCCACCGTGGGCGAATCCTAATACAGCCCATTGGGAGCCATTCTAATAAGGTACTCCTTCCGTATCCAGGTAATGTTGTACTGCTCCTTTTGTTCGCTGGTAGCCGTGGACAGTCCCCGCGGCCCGTTTGCCTGAGGGATGAGGGCATTCGATGGACCACACACCTGTAATGTCCCTCAAGGACTGGATAGCTATTTCAGGATTCCGTTTCACCTTGGAAGGAGCACTTGACTTAATATCCTATTCAAGACAAAAATAGAAGACTGTACCTTTCATGGGGAACTCATTTAGCCATAAGTAAAATTCGAACATTTCGAATCAACTTGGGTGGTTTTCAGCAGATTTCTGAGAATCGCCAAACCTTTTTCGGATTCCTCTTGTGAGAATCACATTGAGCTGTATAATAAAAGATAATGTAAATTTATATATGAATAAATAATTATGGTTTATTACACTTCTGTTGTTCTAAAAAAAAAGGAAAAATCTTTTGAATTTAAATTATTGCGTACAATTGCTAAGTATTAAGTATGCTGATATGGAGAGTAAATATATTTTTATCAATAACAATTCTTAATTAAAAGAAAACAAGATATATAGGTATTTAAATCATGTAATAATTATATTTGCAATAGATAATCAAAGTTAAGCAACGCCGAACGTCCACCGAGGAAAGTCACGCTGCCCGATATTCCTCCCCTCTCTGGTATGTGAGACCCGTCAGCCTAATGGAGGCAACTCACACTGAGCGGGCGTAGGATTGATGACCCCAACCCTGTACTTTAAATCGGGAATCGGGATGTGGTATAGAAGACCACAATCGCGGTCAAAGATCTTCATGGTCTGTAGCACCAACCGAAAAAATAATTATATGAAAGAAATTTTACTGGTCCTGAGGATATCCACGAAAGAAGGTCTGAGGGCACAAATCTAAGAAATTGGTATGTAGAGAGATAAAAGATGTATAGATCAAGATGCGTGGTAATAGAAGTGTGTAGGTGCAGAGTTAGAGAGTACATAATCCAACCGAAACATTCCCTCACTATGTGATACAGCTAGAACTGGAGGGCTTGATATTTTCGATGTAGTTATAGCGACGAAAGCGCATGCCATTTAGTTCTAATGATGACAAAATACCTATGGGAACCAACTAATTCGGTCACCGATAAAGACCCGGGAGATGGCAGATTATTGTCTATTTCTTTGGCGTACAAACCGAATTAAGAGGTCTTCGTTCTGCAGACCAAACCGTATTTCCACCAGCAAAGTAATCCCTTATATTCATTCATTGGGCGACGGTTTAGCATAATCCAGATCACTGAAGTCGACCTCAAAATTAAATTATCTTCAATAAGCATTTGTAAACAATAAAATCTAGAAGATGAGAAAAAAAATATCTAATTTTTATGGATAACATGACCCTTTACGTAATGTCATGCCGTAGTTAATAACTGTTTCAATCCAATATACTATAAGATAGCGGTTAACTAGATTAAGTCCTCTAATTAGGTAAAGATAAAATTAGCTGAGTTTTTCGTTATTCTCTAAAATCGGAAAATTGACAATTGAAATGAATAGCTGATTTTGTTTAAACGCAAGCTCTGCCCAAGAAAAATGGAAACCACTGAAAACTTATTATTAGGATACAAGAAGAGGTACTTGAATGCACAGACCATTCGCGATGATGACAAATGAAGTTATAATATCGTGATGATGCAAACTACCATGTAAGATAGTCAAATTCGCTAATAATGAATCGCCAGGGGAGCATTCTGAAATCGACTGGAACGTATATGGGATAATTAAAAGTAAAAATAACTCACAATTCGGTGGGTTTTTTTTTGGTTTTTTCTTTCGGTTTAGTAAGCAGATAATAACCTATGTTTAATAAGATTATTTTTTGTACTTTTTTTATATCTAATATGGTATATGAGATTAATGAGTCATCGAAGTGATTAAAAAAAGTGTAAGTAATATATTTCAGGTTGTCGATTTCATTCTTTTTTTTTTTTTCTCAACGTGCCAAACTGGTTTAAATTCCGATAATTTATAAAAGTGGCAATAAAGCTTGCTGGATTCGATGCCCAATAAATCAGGATTCCAATATACTAATTACGGGCTCAGATAGTCGAAGAAAGGAGGACATTTATGAAAATGGCCGTGGGAAAGGTACAGGTATTTTCATGGCGCCAATATCGGCTTGTTCCAGAGGAATTCGCTCTTCGTTAAATCCCACCAATTAATATCATACCCAGCTATAATTAGGTGCCATTAGAATTTTAATTGAATAATATTGAGAATAAAAGTCTCCATTTTAAGAGAATTATTGTCCTATCAACGCCCACCCAGGTGAGCTTTCTTCCAGGCATTTTATTGACTCCATCATTATTTAATAATTTATTGGCATTTTAAAAAAAATAATAATAAAATGAAATAAATGAGGTAAAAAAAATAAAATCAAAACTTTTATAGGTAGAAAACAGATTTATTTTAAAAATAAATCCAATTGAATCTACTAGTAATCTTTAATCGATAGTTCTGAAATATGAACATTAACTTTATTTTAAGTAAGTAAGAAATTGTCTCCTGTTTATCAGAATTCTGGATGATTTTACTGAAATATTAGTCAAATAATCTGGTGCGCTCATCACTCAACTTTCTCTTACCGCTCTACTTTGAATAGGAATTTTTTTTTAACAATGTTCGGACATTACAAAAATTTGTAAGTGATTTTTTAACGGAGCTAAAGCTTAAACCATACAGGTAACAACTCATTAAGACCATTAAAATAACACAAACCCTATTTAATATACCCACGGTAATCAATAAAAACCTCTTAACTCCATCTGCTTTTATGACACAAGTTTAGTCTCAGAGCTATATATGACAAGAGAGATTTGAAAGTACAACTGTCTATTTAACCTATAAAATATCCTGAGATGGAACAAAATTGGTTTTCTGAATTCAAGGCAGACATTCTTAAATTTATCAGATTTATCTATTTCTACTTATAGAATAGGGGGTGGAAAGTGTTGAAAATTTATTATTTCAAGTGTATATTTGACTTTTCTTATTTAATTAATTTACTTTTGTTTTGCTTTTTATGTTTTCTTTATCACATTTTTTCAATTTTTTTATTTTTTGATTTCTTCAGTAATTTGTACTCAATTGATGTTAAAAAATACTTATTCCATATCAACACTTTTTAATTACAATGTAGTATGTCATCCAGGCTTGGAGCATGACATAGACTCAAGTAAATGGTCCAAATGTGGGATTGCCATGTAAGGAAAAGTACTAAATAAAAAAACCTACGTATAATATAATAATAAAAGTAGATCCTTCGAAATGTTTGTTAAACGGTTCCTTAGGAACGTTTAAGTGTTTTTTAAATGAGAGATATCAATCAATAAAATAACAAGGGAGTAAATGAAGCTGTGACATTAAGATGGAGAATTGTGCCACAGCTGTCTCACACCAAGGTTGCACAAGCACCTGAAGGAACATCTAAGTTTTATCACATAAGATAAAAAAATATATTTTATATGGCGGATCGAATTTGAATGTGTCATAGCAGTAAACGGCGTCTTTTAATCTTAGCCACTTACATAACGGTCGAGGTCAGAACATTTCCTTAAAGAACCCAGGTTTGGACAAAAAAAGAAAGGATACCCGGGGAAGGTTGAACAGCAGGTGGATAATGTATTCATTGCTGTAAAAAGCTGGTGCTTGAAACATGTTGCCATAAAAAAATTTTATAAGAACAAAATATTTAGGTACTTATATCATTCATAATATTCATCTAAAATTTATTTAAAATGATTAATAATAAAAGTATTAAAAGAATTTAAAATAAATCATACTACATAAAGCTTCGCAATAACAATAAAATTCTTTTAGGAAGCCTTAAGTTCAAGTAGGTATTCATACTATAAGAATGAAAACAAAAATTATCCTCCGAAACAATAGATTGTTAAAATGAACTTTAACCTTGAGCATTTCAAAATTACACATATACATAATAACCTTATTAGTTAAAGTAAGTTTTTAAAATTAATGAAACCAAGTAATAATAATAAAAGTAATAGTATAGAAAATAATTTAACTTTATAGAGTCTGGCAAATGCAGGTAAGCATGAAGTATATATTTTTATACTCTTATGTAATATAAGATAAAAGTGAGTAAAAGTAAAAAAAAAAAAAAATGTATAAGAAAAACATATTTTCAATTTTCGTTTTCAATCGATTTTTTTTTTTATCTTGATTACATAGTTTCAGCATTGTCTCAAATATTTTACTCGTTCCCGGGTGCTGACGTCTATGATCAAATATTTTTACTAAATTTGAATTTAACTCTTGAATCAACTAACAAAATCAAATAAAGTACGTTATTGACTATATCTGGAGCCGTCAAGAAGTGGGGTTTATAAGCTGTAAAAGCAGTAAGTGAAAGTTGTGTGTTCCGCGCACCATTTTTTATGAAAAATCACGAAAAGGCTGTTAGAAAAATATCAACAATACTAAAAGCGATGAAGTTGTAATATAATTTAATTTGAAGACGTTTCCAATGACCCTGGAGGACAGAGACAACAAAAAAATTAAATTAATAATTAGGTATTATATTTTATTTAATGTTATTTATATTACATTGTGATATAACTATTATTATTATGAAACTGGAAAGGAACCAAAATATAACCTATAATTAAAATATTAGAAGTAAAAGTATTAAATTGAAGAGGGGACAAATAGAATACATATTATGGTTAAAAATTGTAAATAAGAATAATTTTAATTCTATAATTGTATAAATTGCCTATAATGGTCAATGTCTAATAATAGTAATAACTAGTGTTGCTCAAATGCGAGACCGGGACGTGTCTTGGTCTTGCAAAATCAGTCTTGGTCTAGGTCTTGGTCTTGGGCAAGAGTCTCGCAACAGTCTTGCATTTACCTATTAGCTTATTACGAAAGAGATTGTTTACATAAGAGAAACACAACTAAGTCCGAATGAAAAATTAAAAGATTTAAATGCAAAAGTATATTGGCAATACCAATTCTTTACACATAGTGTCTAAAATTGTCAAGTTTTAGTAATTATTTTGCCCTAATTTTTATTGAAAAAAAAATCGATTTTTTATACCCGGCTTGGTATTGGTCTTGCAACAGTTAGGCTATCTTGGTCTTGGTCTTGCACTTTGCAAGACCGATTTTGGGCAACACTAGTTATAACATTTATTTGTACATAAAATGCAAAAAAAAAATGGATAAAAAATAGATACATACAAAATCTTTACATTTTTATTTACACTTAACATTCTTACATTTACAAAATCAACATTTTAGTTATTGTTTTGAGTTCAAATTTCTTTATTTTATTTTTTCTAGCTCTCTTGGAACCACACCAGGCAATGAACCTGTCTCATCCGTTTCCACTCTTTTGTCTCCAATGCTACTCTCTTCCAGGCTGTTTCCCCGCAGGTCTTCTTCATCTCCTTGTCCCAGTCTGTCGGCGGGCGTCCTTTTTTCCTCATGTGATCTCTTGTATACCAATCCATAAACTGCCTGATCCATGTTATACCTCCTGATTACATGTCCGGTCCAGGTCCACTTCCTGATGTTTACTTTTTCCACAATATCTGGATGGTCAGTCTCAGCACTGATCCATTTATTTGCTTGTCTATCCCTTCGTGATATTTCGAGAAGATATCGCTCCTGCCGATGTATAATAAAGATTTTAAAAGAAATTAAAAATTTGTCCTGTGGTTTCGTTTCGTTCATTTTATATTTCTAAAAAATAATACAATCTGAAATACCTAATGCATACGAATTACAATTATATAATTTGAAAAACGGGTAGTACAATTGAATGGACCGTTGTATAATTTTTAAAATGGGGGCTGATAAGCAGTCAGACGGATCCGGTGAAACCCTCTAGTCTAATGTATTATAACTAATTAAATAAAACCACCTCGCCCGGCGGTACAAGATCACGTGATAAAATAAGCCAGTTTGGGTTAGATAAAAAATGCTCATCACCTTAGGAAAGTGATTTCGTCTTTTGGAATAATTATGACAGATTATAGACTTGGCGATAGAAGAAGGGAAGCAAGTTGGGGTTCCGTCAGTAAAAGACCTAACCTACTTTGCATACGCAGAAATTAATTTTTGAAACCTGTTACTAAATCTGCCTTTGGGGTTTTGATTGGTTTTCGGGTTGGAACCGGTCGTGGATGGCTGCAACAGGTGCACTGTCGGAACACTCCCCGGTTGTTTCAACGTCCTTGGCTGCCTTCGAGGAAAAAAAAAAACGACTAAACTTTTCTCTTTTAAACAGCAAGGAATTGTCATTTAAGCAAACTGTAATTGGTGTTAAATTGTTTGTTTTGATAGTTGACTAATTGATAATGACATCAAAGAATACAGCTGTTCTGTAAGTATGGGAAAATTTTTATAGGAGTGATAGCAGACCCCAAGAGCTACAAAAAAGTTCATATAAATAATGGATCAATTTTCAGAAGAAAGGTAGGAAATCCAAATTTAGTGTTTTTTCAAGTGTCATAATTTGTTGTGAATAGGAAGCGAAAACTAAAGAAATATTTAATTTAAATAATTAACAACTGCTTTACTGTAAACTAGATAAAATTTACTTCAAACGAAAATATAATTTGTCATTATTAAAACCATTTAAAGAGGACTTTTGAGCGGCTGAACTTGACCAAGTTCTGTTTTCAAAAAAATCATAAATTATTGGCGATTTATTTTTATCATTATCGAACAATACTACTAGTGCTGCCCGAACCCCAGACCGCGAAGGGTCTTGGTCTTGCAAACTCAGTCTTGGTCATGGCCTTGGTCTTGCGCAAGAGTCTCGTAACAGTCTTGCAGTTACTTATAAGCTTATTACTGTGGAGATCTTACTGTAACTTTTTAGATAGGAGAAACCTAACTAAGCCCGAATGAAAAATTAGAGTTAAATACAAAAGTAACAAAGATTTTTAAGTATTAGTAATTATTTTGCCTTAATTTTTATTCCAAAAATCGATTTTTTTTACCAGTTCTGGTTTTAATCTTGCAACAGTTGCTTGGTGTGCAAGCAAAGTGCAAGACGAAGACCGATTTTGGGTAATACTAAATACTACTCATACCCCACTTTTAGAAAAACTTTTTCGTTTAATTAAATTCCATATTAATTAAATTGAGGTTTATACGGCAGAATCTCGAGATTCATCTCAAGTTCTTTAAAGAAATGATGTGATTTTTCATCTTGTCACCTAAAAGTACCATATTTAGGTATCACCATAAATACCATATAAAAAGCATAAAGTTACTTTTGTGTATGACAGGACCACTCTGAAGACTTTATTGCTTACGTTATATGTTTAAGATAATATTTTTCTTAATTCATCTTATTTCAATTTATTTTATTAGCTTTATGGTGTGTCTACATTTATATATATATATATATATATATATATATATATATATATATATATATATATATATATATATATATATATGTATGTATATACAAGGGTCTCTATTATGTATTCAGTATATACTGGAAGTAGTTATACGTGTTAGAGCCTCCAGAAATTAAAAGTTGCCACGTTTTTATAAGCGCTAATCTGAAAAGTATTCATATTGCATTTTTGTTTTAATTTTTTCAATTATATTTTTACTTTAATGAATATTTAAAAATTGCTTTATGTTAAGAGAAGAAAAATAACAGTTAAAATAATTTTTAATTAACTTGTTCTGATTTTCGTGTAAGTAACATAATGCTTAATGCCTTGCTTTATAACTCAATATTTAACCGATTATATTATAAATATTTCCTCAGACATATTAACCGTAAATGAGGAGGTACTTCATATGCTTATGGTAACTTCAGTAAGGTCTATTGGTTCTAATCGCACCGTTTCCTGTAAATAGCGATAAGTCAAAAAACAAGCTGCTTTATTAGTCAATGGTTGTTGGGTCCAATACGGTGATTTCTTTCTTTTGATAAACAGGAAATTAATTAAAACCAAGTGAAAATTTCAGAGTAATCTTACGGCTATGAAAGTTGGAAGTTTAAATATTCTACTGGTATAAATTGTATATGAACGTTGTGAGTTCTCTACTACTTATAATTAGCCATTATCATATTAATGGCTGTTGGAATGCCCGCTAAGAAGATACATGGACCAAAACTGATTGGAATAATAATTTGGACGAATTCGTTCACGTGGTTCGTCAATAGACTTCCGCGGATATTCATCATCCCATATACGAATCGACCATTAAAAGATGTTCCCACGCCAAGAGATCATAAATCCCCGAATGTATTTGGAGCCATTAAAATCATTGATGGTTTTATTTTGCCGATGTCTCTTTGGGAAGGCTCTATTTGGAGGCTTTGATTGTCCTAATGCATATTTAGAAGCTTAGCCAACTCTATCTTATATGATGAACTGCAAACATGATCAGGAAAAAATAAGAGCCAGAAATGAAGGTATTTTCTAATCTTCTTTAGGGGTTGAAATAAGAAAATATGATATTTTATTTCTAATTGGAATAATTTAAGAATTTCTTATTAATCTTAGTGAGCTTTTACTTTCGTATTTATGTTTTAATTATTACATAACTAAAGTTGTCATTTTAAACTTAAAATGCTCTAGACTCTATTATTAGACTATTGATTTATTGATCGTAGTGTTATTCATTGTTGTATACAGTCTGAATAATTTCGCAATAATTATATAGGAGTATTAAACAAGATGGCCCGTCCTGTTTTTGTCATTACTGGGAAGGTGCTTGAAGAAGGGACATAAAATCTAGTTAAATATTCTATATCATTACTGTAAAACTAAGACGAAAATATCTCATAACGAATAAAAAAATAAATTTATGACATATAATTAAAAAATCAATGTAGGACGATGGAAAAAATTAAAATTAAATTATATAAGAATAAATAGCAATACAGCAGAATAACATTTCGTAAAGAAATCAACGTAAACTGGTGGCGTTAATATCCCCTTAAGTACTAAATAGGTTAAAACAACGTTGGTAGTGTAACTAATACAACATAAATAAGTGAAATATCAGATATACTACTATCAATTTTAGTAATATTTTACTAAAAGTCATAGATTTCAAGAGTATTGTATATATGAGCTATTGCCATCAGGAAAAAACAATTGATTCAACTAAATACTGCTCACAATTAACAAAATTGGACTAATCAATTAAAAATAAAGGCCCAAAACGGGCAATTCGGAAGGGTGTTGTGTTCCAGCAAGACAACGCTAGGCCCCACACCTCATTGGTCACCCGCAATAAATTATTGGGCCCTTGATGGAACCTTTTGTCCAACCCTCTCTATTCACCAGATATAACTCCAAGTGACTACCACTTATTCCGGTCTATGCAGAACTCCATGAATGGAAAGGAATTCCAAAAGGAAGAGGACATCAAAAACCACTTGGATCAGTTTTTTTAACAAAAAACTCCACATATTCTATGAATATAACATTATGCAGTTAGTGAAAAGATTAGAAAAAGTCATATTAAATAATGGTCAATTTATTTCAGTTTAAAATAAATTTCATGTCCATAATAAATTTATACCCTGAAAAACCGAAATGACTTATTTGCCAACCCAATACAATTAGACGTAATGTATTCACACCAATCGTTTTATCGTTTCATTATTTTATTTGGAGTGATTGTCGATGGCTGCCCTCACGTTGTTGCATACATTTTTTTTTTGTCTTCATATTTCCATCCACACCTGTCATGAGCTTGACAATAAGCAGATGTGCTGTAACTAATACGAAAAATTGGCATTTTAGGCATGAGGAAAAAAATAGTATCCAGCAGCACTTCTTCCTGGTCTTGATTTATTTCCTGAATTCAAGAAAGGAGATCTCTCATCCAGCTCTTCTTTAATCGTCTCCTGATAGACATGTCAGCTGTGGCCATGTCGTTAATAAGTCCGTTATGATGTCCTAGTAGTTTAAGATGAAATCTGGAGTAGAGATCGCGTATGTGTTGGTCGATAGTTGGTTGTCGTAAGTCGTTATGTCAAGTTTTGTTGTTTACTTACCTAGGAGCTCTTTTTATAAGTCGTAAAATTTTGGATTGAAATGTCTGTAGTTTTTGTATGTGTGTCTTTTTTGCAGAACCGTAAATTTGTGAGGCGTATGTCCATATGGGTTTATGTATGTATTGAGTTTTTGTCTGATTTTCAATTTTGATTTCAAGTGTGTATAGTATTTTTACGTGTGGGCCCCAGGTCATTCAACTGTCGAATATTAATAATAATAACAATAATAATAATGCTTAATTTATTCTGGGACGAGTCCCTTTAGAATAATACAGAGAGACAAAGGTGTGGGCTAAAGTGCCTCAGAGATACATTAACAAGAATATAGTTTGATTAAATAGTAAAAAAAAATTAAAAATAATAAGAGCAAATTATAAGCTACTTTCTAATTTACATCAGTTAATAATAAAAAATAAAAAATTGAAAATACACATGAAGTAA